TCAAAGCAAAGGTTTCTCTCACCACATGCTTTACCAGTCTTACTGGCTGGAATCCTTTCAGCCAGAACCCCCTGCCCCAGTTCAGTGTTGATTGCTTTGTCCTTCAGGTGTTGTTGATGCCGTGAGTAGAGATGAAGGGAGAGATGAGTTGGGGCATCTGTTCCCCATTTTTATGTCTTTTCCTCCTCTTGAGAATCATCTCTAGCTGGGGTTCAGGAGACAGAAAGTCTGTGTGACAGGAACTTCCAGCAGTTTCTTTGCCAAGATGTAAAATTCTCACTCACACCCTTTTTCCTGCCAAAGAATGGCCACTTAATCAGGTGATAGTCCATTTGGTTTTGTTGTCACCTGGCTGAGACATCAGTTTGCCTTTTGTCTTTGAGGAACTGGTTTCTACCTGCTTTTCTAAACTTGGTATATGTCTCAGTAATGTTATACAGTAGAATCTTATAACTTTACATACAATGTTGCCACACATATTTTACTAGCACAATAATGATCAGCACATTATGAGTTTTTAAATGATAACCTCACAAGCCATACTTTGTACAAAATCCACTATAGTTTTGTAAAAAGAATGAACATGGGGTACAGACTGTCACAATAATGTTGCTTTATTGTCTGCTTTTTAAAACACTAGTTCTTCTTGGGGTAGTGTGCAAAAGTGAAGAATCAAAAAGAAATCAGAGTTGATCCAAAACATTTCATAGGAGGGTGTGGAAAAGCCAGGTTAGAAAACAGTTCAGTCACAGAAGGATGGTACATCCCATTCATGTACACCAAGCTCCTGCCCTGCCTTCCTTCAGATAATTTCTAAAGACCACCTGTGCTGCAAGGCATTCCAGTTAGGATCTGCTCCTCGTCACGTATTTGTTTTTTATTTTAATTGCTGTTTCTTTGGAGTGTAAACTTCAGGGCAATGTCCTGTTGTTTCAAAGATCAAAACATTACATTGAGGTCTGGGACTTGCTATATTACATCTTGGATTACTGCCAAAAATATTATTTCTTGGAGGGACTAATGACAGTTAAGGATCTGTGGCCTTTACTCCAGTTTTATGCCAGCAGGTCTCTATCATAACCAGTGGAGTTACTCCTGTTTTCCATCAGTGTAACATAATGTAGAACCAGGGCCTCTGTCCCAGTCAGCAAAAGGGTTAGAATTGCATTCTGTGTGCTTCTGGAAAGCAGCGTTTCTCATCTTCAGAGTGGAGTAAAGCATTTGTTTCCAGCTGTGAAAAGACATGAGACATCAGGTCTTAAAATCCCATACAGTTTGCTAACATTTTGCCACTTCCAGTCTGGCTGTTGACTTGAGAACTGCTAGCAAGCAGATTCACCTGCACACTCCATTTCCTTTGCTCTGCACCAGTGACATAAAATAGCCATAACCGTATTTTAACTGGTAGTTAAGCTGAGTTTATGGCTGCTTCTTGTGGCTGCAGGGTGCAAAGCAGCTGGAGTGTACCAGTGAATCTGTCCCAGTGGGGCCCACAGCTTTCAAATGGCAGAAAGTATTAATCACCACATTGTGGTGGTGGCTGAGATATCAGCATTAAAAATCATGTGGGACTGAAATTGTGGGTGAAATTGCAGGAAAAAGATGGTTGTGAAAATTACCTGGGTTTTAAAGCATGAGTCACCTAATTTATTAAAATAGCTTTTCACATTTTGTAAATCCTCTCCAGTTTTGTGAAATTTGAATAAAGATAATATTTGTTCTCCTGCAGTGCTTCCCTCTCACTGTAACTCTGAGAGTTGTTCGTGGCCTTTGCTGATCACAAGATTGTATGTAAGTGTTAGAAAGTGTATGTAAAATTATATGGGAACTTACAGTTTGTATTGTATTTTATCTCTTGTACTATTTGGCAAATAATGTATAGCTAGAGCCATACAAAAACTGCTAAAGCTCCAATATTAAGAACTCAAGGGCTGGGATATGTCAGGTTTAAGGGGCCTAAATTTCCTTGCACTTACACTGATGTAAATCAGGAGTAATGCCATTGAATCCAGTGCAGTTACACCCATGCAAAACAGGTGTAGATGAGAAGGGAAGCACGACATGCAGCCTTGTCTCTAGTCCTGGGTGTATTATCCAGTATATATGTACTGACTTAGGATTTGTATGATAAATTCTTATGTATTTTAATAACTTTGTAAACACCAATTTACTGTATCTTTCCTTCTCAATCATTGGTAAGGCTTTCCTTAGTTTCATAGCTTGCCCATCTAAGTTAGTTTTAAGGTTATTAACAACCTCATCCACTGAATTACACCTAAGAAAGTCCATGCTAGGCAAGTCTGTGCATCTCTCTGTGACTATGAAAATTGTTTAGGATTCTTTCCTTCCTTCTCTGCTGACTTAAGCAAAATATGTGATGGGTAAGCTGACTGCTGAGATGAGCTCCCATGCTCTGTCCACATTTAAGAGGCTTAGCAAAAGACAAGCTACTATACATTCCCAATATGTAATTTTCAAATGCTTGTAACTTGTTCAAACCAGATTCCTCAGGAACAAGGCTATGCACTGGTCCTTTTTGAAGGCTGTTTCCATGCTAAGCTTCAAAAATTCAACCTTTTCATCTGTGCGGTAGTTCAAAAAATATAATTCCATTATCCCCCATTCTCTTTGTGCTCAAAACTGGTGGAGCCATTTTTGCTCAGACACTCCAGATAAAGTCACCTTTGGGCAGAGATCAGATATGGAGAATTTCAGCCCTAAAGGTGAAGTCTTAAAGTAGAGTGACTCAGATGGAAACCATTATGCAACTTTAGAGCAGAAAATAGTCAGTGCCCCATAGGAATAACTTTTTAAAAATACCTTATTTGACCACATAAGCACAAAGAGGTACCTAAAATTGAGCGCTCATTGTTAACTTCTGGAATTTCCTTCCTTTTTAAGAGCTTGGTTTTTCAATCTCCTTAATTATGCATTAACGCTGATATTTGGCGAGGAGCACCTATTAAGTAACACAATATCCAGGAGTCAAGTATTTACTCTTTCTGAGGCTGAGAGCTGGCACCCCGATATTTATATTTTTAACATAGGTATAACTCAGAATTTGGGAAACATTTTGTAACAGTTGAATGAGCACTCAGAATTCTGTACTTACACTTTTTATGTGAGAGGGGAGAATATTCCGATGGCAAAGCATATCTTTTTGTGTTTCTACAACAGATGATGATAGCATCATTCTGACTATGTTCTTTCCAGTTATATTCACATACTAGATCAAATTCATCCCTGGCATAACTCCATGTTCTAAAATGAGTTACACAAGGGGTGAGCGTGGCCCATTCTGTCTATAACCTCTATCTCACGGTTACTTAGTATATTAGTCAAAACAAGCTTTATTATTGCAAGATACACAGGGATAAATTATCATAAGCAAATTAGGCTATGGAGTGTCATGGGCAATAGTCACTCCACAATTTTAGACTGCTCTGTGACATCTGTAGTAAAAATGTGTGTTGATTTTCCAATGATCCAGGAGTCATGATTTCTTAAGAATATCAAAACAATTGTACTAATAAAGGAAAGAGGTTAACAAGATAGAGAGGATATAGTTACTTGAGAAGAATTGTATACAGTGCAGAAAATATTAAAATTGAACCAGAAATCATTTATTATATTTATATTAATAATTATAGATACATGGTAATTGAAATATATATATCCCTGTAAATATTCACGATGGCCCAGTCTCATGAGAGTTGGAATAAAAATTCCATTAGAATGTTGTATAAATTATAGCATATCTTCTTCAGCGTTAGTAGATTGTCTATGAGATTATCACAAAGAGAAGTTTTATGAGTTTGTTTTACATTACTCTGCTATGATAATACAATACTGCTGGGAGTCCTCTATGAAATATTTTAATGGTCTGATAATGGGGTGGGGAAATAGGTACTTCTGAATTTTAGCCTTGGCTCTTACAGTGGGTCCTTCTTGTGATTATGGACAAGACTCCAAACCTCTCTGTCTCTGTTCTTCATTTTAAAAATGGGGATAATTCCTAAACTCTATTTTGTTATTATAAAATGAAAGTATTCAAAATGATGAGCTCAGCAGACCGGGACACCATCATCAGTGGTGTAATTAGAATCTCACAACCAGGAATTGAATTGCCTACAAAATGTAAAATCCTCATCTTAACAAAGACCTTGGGGTGTTGGCTTGGAGAGCCAACAAATTCAGCACTGACATGACGCACACTAAAGCTGAATGCCACTGGCTTTTCTAAAGCACTGTAACAATGCTGTGTGCTTCTGGCAGTTCAAAAAACAAACAGCAAGGAGCAAAGCAGGCTGGTTCATTACTCAGCACTTGGAACATCACAGTTTTGGCTGATTGGCATGACCTTTCTGTTTATTCATGAGACACGATATTAGTTTTCTCTAAGACTTTGTTTTCAGTGCTAAAAAAGCATTTTCATCTTGGGGTAACAAACACAGATGAGCTATCCTGAGGTAAAAACACCATGAAGACACAGTAAACAGCTGGATACCCCTTCCAGGGATTGACCATGACAGGTTTACTTTGTGTTAAATTTAAAGTGCTTTATCTTCACTGTGTTTTCACCTTGGATTAGCTCATGTGTGTTAGGCTTTGTCTACACTGGCAAGTGAAAGACAAAACTTTTGTCATTCAGAGGTGTTAAAAAACACCCGCCCCCCCCCCGAAAGACAAAAGTTTTGCTGAGGACAAGCAGTGGTGTGAACCAGGGGCGGCTCCAGGCACCAACGCAGCAAGCGCGTGCCTGGGGTGGCAAGCCGCGGGGGGCGGCCTGCCGGTCGCTGTGAGGGCGGCAGGCAGGTGGCTTTCGGCAGCGCACCTGTGGGAGGTCTGCCGGTCCTGTGGCTTCGGCGGCAATTCGGCGGCAGGGTGCTGCTATCACCAAGGAGGATGCATGCATGTAAACGGCAACCTCATGTATACTATTCACTCCCTACTTTGTGTTCTACCAGGCAGGGAGTTTTCACTCCTTTTTCTCTCCCCAGTGTCCAACAAGCACCATTTTATGGATAGCAACCTGCTGTACCAGTTCAGAATGAATTTCCGCCGGCGACGGAGGCTGATGGAGTTGCTCCCTGAGAAATCCCGTTTGATGCCAGAAAGTCACGACAGTCCCTTTTGCCTGCGCAAGCAGAACCATGACAACAGAAAGCACACCAGTTTTCAGTCAGGTGATTCCTTGGTTCTGTGCCTTTTACTTCTCCGTTGTTTAACTTTTCCTTGAAGACATGTGTCATTCCTAAAGCTTGGCCCCCTTCACTTTAGCATGAGGCAGATTTAGCTGAAGAGATGTGCTCACTGCATCATCCATGAATAAATATCATATCCAGTAAACAGGTTCTTCTACCTGGTTGGCTTTTCAAATAATTAGCTGCCTGTGTTGTTTTGTGCTCTCGTATAAATAAAGGATTTCAGGCTTACATTTTTCCACAGGCAGAAATCAGCCAGCTTGGACGTTTTTCTTTTTTTTAAAACTTGCTAAAAAGATTTTAAAAAGCAAAAGTGTTTTTGCATAAACTGTATGTTGTAGTTTGGGGGGAGGGGGGGAAATGCCTGAACAAGTACACATTAGGAAGCAAGATGAAAATAGGAAGAAAGCAGGGGATAACTGCAGAAAATATTCTGCTTATTAAAATGCCTATTTCACTCTATTGCACTGGCACCTAGAAATCACAGTGATGGAAGCATTATAGAGAATTAAATTAGCTAAAATGGATCATGTAGTAATCCGACATATCAGAGTAAAAATATAATTTTCATGTGTAATTCAAGTATTCCTGCTAGGGTGACCCGACAGCAAATGTGAAAAATCTGGAGGGGGTGGGGGGTAATAGTAGCCTATCTAAGAAAAGGACCCCAAAATTGGGACTGTCCCTATAAAATCAGGACATCTGGTCACCCTAATTCCTGCAGCACATAGGTGAGTGTTCTGACTAGGCGGAGTGTGATAGTATGATTACACTATTATAAATGAAAGCATGTTCCGATGTTGTTATTTTAAACAAAGCAGGGGAAATGTGCCAAAAGAATCAAGACGATTTCCCTTTCTCTCTCTGTATTTTCTGTCTCCTTTGTACAGTGAGTCCCACCAAAGAGATAAAGATCGTATCAGCAGTCAGAAGGAGTAGCATGAGCAGTTGCGGCAGTAGCGGTTACTTCAGCAGCAGCCCTACCCTCAGCAGCAGCCCCCCAGTATTATGCAACCCCAAATCTGGTAAGCAGATGGAATTGGTGCAGATTAGACAGAATGCGGCTCTCTCTAAAGAGAGTGAGGGTAAATGAGTGACTGTTTCTATTTCTTCATCTAAGTTTGTCTTTTGAGGCATATTTTAAAGATTGATAGATTCACAGATTTTGCGGCTAGTCGAATCTTTATGATTATTGAGTTTGGCCTCCTGCATAACATGGGCCAGAGAACCTCACCCAATAATTTCTGCATCAAATCCATAACTTTGTTTGAGCTAGAGCATATCTTTTTAGAAAGACGCCCAGCCTTATAGCCACTCTTACCTCCAGATTGCCATATCAGTTGCCAAACATAAATTCTTCTCAGTTACACAGGCGTGACTTCGCTGGCATTGCATGGGTGAGAGGAAAACGTAGGCTTTGGTAACCACCTGAGTTATTGTGTAAATAACACAGCCCAGAGCAAGCATAGCAAATGTAGCTTTGAGGATGTCAGAGACAATTTAAACCCTTAAATTAGTTTAGATTTTACACCATTCTGTGTAAGAATTTAAAGGCAGTCAGGGTTCAAGCTTATATTCTTTTTTAAATGATTTCCTCAGTCCTTTAACAGGGAGAGTAGAGCATGGGGCTGCGTCCTCAGTGTGATACAGAAAGGGATTCTGAACTGATGGGGAGTAGGGTGTTGGAGCAGTCTGGGGAAGGGGCCAGTGGCTATGTGTAAGCATGGACTTCAGTGGGGCTATTCAGACCTGAAGTTTCTGATAGAGGGCCCAAAGGGGCCAGTGGCTGCTGTTCAAATCATGGGCTGTTTATTCAGGTTCTGAGCAGGAGAGGGGTGAATTTTACTCAGTATACTCGGTATAAGTAGTAGAGATACAAAGAGTGGTAAATTTTTGTTTGTTTTTTTTCTGGCCATTAGAGCAGAGGTTCTCAAACTGTGGTCCGCGGACCACCAGTGGTCCGTGAGCTCCATTCAGATGGTCCGCAGATAGTTCCCTCTAATGTGCGCGCCTGGCCAGCCACACACTAGAGAATGAAGGGCGACCCGCCTAATTAGTGGAGCCACACAGGCAACCCACTAATTAGGTGCCTGGACCCTGGAGAAGACGCACATGTAAGGTGAGGTGGTGGCCTTGGGGGGAATAGGGAAAGATCATTAAGTGGTCTCAGCAATTTTCAAGTGGTCCGCGAAAAAAAAGTTTGAGAACCACTGCATTAGAGCATTGCACAGCTTGTCTTTGGCCTTGGCTTGGAGTTTTCAGTAAAGTCTTACGTTAGAAGAACTTGGTGGGTTCAGTTTGGTCACATGACTAGAGCCATAATTCAGTAGTGCTAGTGTTCTCTTTGGAGGATGTCTTCTTTTTGAATCACATTCATTCTTGTTCATCGCACACTCAAAGTCAAGTGCTGTCTACCACTCATCTCCATCATGCCGTCTGTATGTTCCAATTTGTGGCTGCCACAGTGCGATCTTTTTTAGGTGCACCTGTCGGGTATTCTCTCCAGCGATTCTTCTATGACGTATTCTAAATGGTGAACTTTTGCTCCCGTTAAACCATTCATTATACCCTGGAAATATTACTGTGACAAGCAGGCTGGCATTTTTGTTGTTGATAAACATATGCATTATCTTAAGTATACCCACTATTTCCATTCATTTATGGCTCTGGTTATATATGTCACATGAGTAGTGAGAAGAAGTATATCTTAAGATAGCCGATTATAAAATCTTGGTAGAAAAGAATATATTGACACCTTCCTTACACAGTGTTTCTATTTAAAATGAATAATCACTTAGGCATAAATTCTACCTTCAGAACAGTTTAACAGACTTATTTTTGAGTCTGAAACAAGGACCAGTGAGCAGGGATCTACCAGCTTTTCCCATACTCCAAGTAATCCTCTGCTAAACTGGAATGAGTTTTTTAGAAAGTTTCTCAATAGCAGAACCAGAATGATCAGGTGAGAAGAACATTAATAAACTGGACCTTGACCAGTTGTTGGATGAGTTCTGCTGTATTTCATGAGAAATGAAAACTTAAAGGAAGTCTGGGGCATGGCTTGGCCAATCACAAGGGAAAAAGAAACTATTCCTGAAGGCATAATTTAGGGAAACACTGTGAAGGACGCCAGTACAGATGATTTATCTAATTGTGATCGGTTGAATCTGAATTACAGAGCAGTGACATGTTAGTCAACAGAACATGTTGAATTTTCTTGAAAAACATCTTGCAGTACAAACGTAAGAGTTGATAACTAAAAAGGAGAAACTAGACCTGGCTTTGATCTCAAAAAGATAGAATGATGGTACTAGCAGAATCTGCAAATTTTAACTCTAAAGATCATTTTGTCAATATCCTAGTGAAAGAATTTTTTTTATTAGTGTATCTTCCTGAATTCTTTTTCTTTCCGTATATGGCATTTTAGGACACTTACAGATATGTTAGGATGTTATCCCTGAAAAATTCCAGCTTGCTTCCATGATATAAGAAAATCAGATGTCATCAGAAATAGTTTATCACTGAAAACAAGAAGCAAACATAGTCATAATTAAAAAAACAGAGGAAGCCAAATGTAATTAATAGAGGGCCTGTGTATCCATTGCCTTGCACTTGGTGCAGTCATTTACACCTGTACAATTACACCTGTTCTGATTTTGTAGCATTTTACACACACTTTACCCAGGAGTAAATGACTGCACAAATACTAATAATATTGTTTGCTGTAGTGTAGATTATCTAATCTGTCTCTCTGTCTGAGGAAGAGTTAGGATGCCTGTCAGCATAGTATCTCAGTCCCTCCATGGTCCCTTCAGGTAATGAGGATTATACTATATTTGATTTTTTAATGATCTTTTACAACTTTCCATCAGTCTAGGCATGCACTAAGGTCACAACACATTAAGCCCTATAAATAAAGTAAGACAGAGAAGACATTGTATCCTAGAACAATTCTTTATGAAAGTTTCTTCAGAAAGGTTTGTATTTAATACTCCTTTGTATGTTTTTGCAGTATTAAAGAGACCAGTGACTTCTGATGAACTCTTGATGCCTGGAGCCCCATATGCAAGAAAAACATTCACAGTACGTCTCCAGTACATATCTTTCTTCTATATGTTGTGTAAATTGGTTCACACAAATATTTTCTGATGGTATAATTAGATCCTAGTTACATTTCCTGATACTTGTGCTCTAAAAATCTCAGCCATAAGATTCCATTAAAATTAGTTTTATACATGTGGAGTCTGATTCTCCACTCTATTATACCCATCAGTATGCCAGCCTAACACCATTGACTTTGGTAGAGTTATACTGACAGAAATCTAGTAATGTTAATTGCACTAATGGTCCTGAACTGTTTTTTATTAATACTTAAGATTATAAAGAGATTTGAAATATGTACTGTATTTACCTATCCAGAATTAAAGTTTTAAATGTGAGTTGCATAGGGCCACTAGACTAATATAAGACTGAAATGTAGATTCATATTCAATAAGAGAGAAAAGAAAAGCCTTTTAAAAAGTAACCCTTTTGAACCTGTTAATTGGAAGCACAGCTTCTCACAGCCTTTAGTCAACATCACTGATGTAACTTAAAAAAGAAGAGTACAGTAGAAGCAAATGCAGTCATTCATTTGGTAGATTTCTCTATAAATAAAGGTTTAATAGCCCATGCAGAGGGCACTGTAAAGTATTTCTATCCACAGAGCAGCATTTACTGTATGCTGGTGACTACAAGATGCTGAAATCATGTCTTTAACCACTGGGACTTTACCCCATGAGTTACATGGACACTGTTTTGTCTTTTTTTCCTTTTCAAGGTTGTCGGTGATGCTGTCGGGTGGGGCTTTGTTGTGCGGGGGAGCAAGCCATGCCATATTCAGGCTGTGGATCCCAGTGGCCCTGCAGCTGCGGCAGGGATGAAGGTAATTTTTCATCAGCTGTTTATCTAGTGGTTTTCTGTATCCTTCAGTGATGCTCTCTGGCCAGTCACTGTGAGACACCAGCCTTTTGCATTTTGGGGTCAAATGTTGTTGTTCTCCTCCTCCAAAATGTCACCCTTCATCTTTTCTTCTCTCTGTCTTAGAGGTTCTCTGATTCTTGTTTTTTTTTACTAAAAGGTCTTTAGTGTTTTCTTTCCAGATGTCACTTTTGCTATATTTGATTGTGCCAATATGTGTAAGAACTGGAAGGGAAAACTGACCGCCGTCTTGCTCCAATGTTCAACCTGAGTCAAGTGCAAAGGGTAGAAAAACAGCATACATGGTGAAAAATTAATTGTTTTTTCTACATTCTATCACTTTGAATAATCTTCAGTTATAAATAACATAGGTAAAGACTTAAAATATCTTGACAATATCACTTCAAATGGGTCATCTTAGAATACTGATCCTGCCTAAAGTATAAAGGAGTTACACTTCCAGGACTTCAAACTTATTCCTATTCATGTTGATGTTTGGAACCCTGAATGTAGCAGTTTACTCAAGTGGTTTATAACAATCTTTATTCTCTCTGCATTTTACCAATTTACGATCATGTGGTTCTCCTCTGAAATGTGACTTTGTAAAAATAGCGTTGTGGGGTTTCATATTTATTGTCTAAATGACTTCAGCTCTAATTTGCTCATTTCACCAGTAAACATAGTTGGGTTTTGTTTTAAAATGTCATCCCTTCACTCTGGGATGATAAACTTAAGCTGGGTTCTGTCCATTTCATGCTTCATAAACTGCAATAGAGGTTTTACAGGCCAAATTATGCCTTCAGGTACACTCATGTAACTTCATTGTATTCCACTTATGTCATCAATGATGCACATGCAACGCAGTTGCTTTCAGTGGGAACTTAATAAAGAGTTTGATATACAAGAAGGAATGGAATGCAGCACACTCTTAACTCCACAGCACTCATAGAGGCAAATAGTAAAAACTTATTTTAGTCACTAAAATCAGCAGAAATTGCTCTGAACACACACACAGAGCAGATCTGATACGCTCAGTGGTGCTATTTTATAGCGTCTCTTTTCAGAGTAGAGCTGCACTTTAAACATTCTGATCAAACTTTTCAGAAAGTAGGCACCTAAGTCTATATTTAGGCACCTATATAGGTGACTTGATTTTCAGAAGTACTGAGCACTTGCCACTCCTAATGAAATGTGGGTGCTAGACTCCCCTGGAATTAGGTATTTAATTTGAGGCGTAACATTTGAAAAGCTTGGTCTGTTTACTTAAGCTGTCTGTTTTCAAAACTCTTCTGTCTGGACTATTTAAAGAAAGTATGTAACAATACATTATAATGTATGCATGCCCCCCAAAGTAAATCTTTCCCCTTTTTAGAAGCACAGAGGCAGGCATATTTCAAATAGAACATTAGGCATAATAACTGCTGGCAGTGAAGATGTGTTTTAGTGTAAGAAGCTTTGTCTGCCAGTATTGCTCTGAGCACTGTACCATAACAAGGAAAACTGGCTATGATAAAAAGGGCAAAATTTTGAGGAAAAGCCCAGGCTCAGCGTGTCACTTCGTAGAAGAGTTCGTTTTTGGAACTACGCCTTATGCAGTCTTGGCTGATAAAACCACTTGATTTATTCAGTAGCCAGCATTCTTTAATGGTGGAACAGACGTAGCCACCAGAGTGCATGATGGGACAATACACCTAGTAGAAACTAGTGTTCAGTGCAGGTCTGCTCTTGAGGACTTGCGAATGAGATTAAAAAAAAGGTACATTTTTTATTACCAATTTGCTGATTGTCCCTCTATCCTGTTTGGGGAATTTAGCACATAGCATTAAGTCTGGGAGGGGGACAAAGATCATTGTTAAAATATGGAGTATACATCTGAGGCCCCAGAATAATAACCAGCAAACAAATATTTATAGTTTTATACCTAAGGGTTTAATATTACACAATTTGCTAGCAATGCCACCCAATCCTTTCCACCCCATAAAACATGATCACATACCCCTGTTCCCCCTTCCCTGACTTTCAGCTGGTAGCAGTGAGATTTGGGATATGGTATAATCACTTATACCCTGCTTTGAGCACTGCTTTGGGATTATGGTACAGGGCTCTCTCAGTACCATCAGGTCTGTCTACATGGTGCTGCTTTCCGTGTGATCTTTAATGGCAGAGCTAGGCAGTCAGCCCCATAAGTCTCTTCCTTGTTTTACATTCACAGATGACTACTTTAGATCTGTGTTCTGAAATGATTCGATTGCAGAGTAAAGGCCACATGCTTAGAGCGACTGAGAAACCACGGCTTCCATTGATTTCAGTGGTCTTTGAGGGTACAAAGCAACTCTTAGTATTTGGCCATCAGACTCTGATCCTGCAAAGTGTTAAATGGCTCTTGTGAGATGACTGCAAAGGGAACTGAGCATGTCAAAAGGATGCTCTCACTATCTTACAGGATTGAGCCCCAAGTGACTGAGTGAAAGAGACCATGGATAAATATTTACATAGTGTAATAGCATATTGTGCTGTTGAAGCAGATGCAGTTCACTCTTAGAATTCCCATCTTATACAAAAATGTTACTGATTATATAAAAACACCAATGACATGGCTGCCATCTGGTTCCAATTACTACATGAAAACACTGAAGCCTACTGATATTTCAGTAGGGTTGTGTGACCAAATGGCTGCTGAATTTGATAATTACATTAGACAGAGATTCAATTCAGAAATGCTTTTATTTAGGAAGGGTGAACAATCAAAAAAGTTGGTGACAAATGTGTTACATGGCATACTGTAGCTATGTTCTTAAACACAGGCTATGTGGAGGGGGCAGAGATAAATATATATAATAACAGACTGTGGTTAAGTGTTACTAATGTAATGGTTGGAATATATATGTGCCTACAATTTTTAAACATGACACCTATGTATAAGAGGCCCAGTTTCCAGGTGCTCAGCACCTGCTGGTCTCATCTACTTCACTGGGTTTGTGGGTGCTCAGGTCTTCTGAAAGATCAGGCCTTTTTATACGTAGGTGTCTAAATATGGTCTTAGGAATCTAAATTCAGTGAGCCAGGTTTGAAAGTTTTTACCATAAAAGCTGTTCTACAATAATGTCCAGTTTGGTTTTGACTTAAATTGACAAAAGGAAGAAAATTTCAAATTGAAACTGCAACTCTCTCCTGCACTTATCCAACTAGGTATGGCTAGGTATGGCAGGGCTTCAGGGGGTTTATAAGCTACATTCTGCAACAGAGACTCAAATGGATGATCAGAGAACAGAATTCTATTTTAGCTTTCAATGTCCTGTGATTCGTGCTGAAGAAGAGCAAGTTGTAGCAGCAGGGTAAGTTTTCATTTTTTTTTTCCTTAGTGGAAATATAACTTTAAAAAAACAAAGACAAAAATTGCTTTCAGGCAGTTTGGTGTTATGATACTTCGAGGATAGTTTGAAGTGTTTCAAACCTCAGTGGATCTGAAAATACCTCTGCTATGCTATAAGCAACACGTAAAATGGATTAGTGGCTATTTGCTCTCCAACACTCACTCAATAGCTGCCATGCCTGCCTCATGTGGGTGTGACATCACATTTTGATTTTCTCACTCTGTGACCCATTTCCCTACAGGTCCACAGTCACCACTTACTGATAGAATATCTTGGTGCATTGAGGTGACATGGCACTATAATTAAGTTGCAAGACCTCCTGTTCCGGGGCAAATAAAGTTGGCCTAAACAAGTCCTGTCTACCCTCTCCAGGCTCTAAAGAGTTCAGGTGGTCCCACTCAAGGGTCTCTTTCTCAGAGGTCAATCACCCTTTTCCCCTCAGAGCAGGGTTTTATACCCACCACTGCCAGTTGGAGCTGTAGGAGGAGCTCAAACCTTCCTCCACTCTGGGTTCCAGCCCAGGGTCCTTAAACCGGGACTCCCAGTCACTGTCCTTTCACACAACACCCCTGCTTCACTTTCCCCTGGACAGCTTCCTACATGATCTGCTTCTTCTAGGCCTTCATCCAGCCTCTTTAGCAAAGTCTCTAAGGGTCTGCTCCTGGATTACCATCTTGGCAACTGTGAAGGACCTCTCCCAGGTCCTGCCTCTGCTCTCTTGAGTAGAGAGCTCCTCAGCACTCCCTAGCACCTAGTCCTGGTGAGTCTCTCTCTACACCAAGTGCAGGCTGCCTCTTAGATAGTCATCCCACAACCACCTGGCTCATTCTTGATCATATTATCTCTAACCTCCAGACCCCATGACAGAGGAGAAAACTAGGCTCAGGTGGAACTGGATCTTAAAGGGCTAGCACATCCTGTGACAGTGACCCACAAGGGATTTTTAAAAAATGAGACTTTTGCCCTTTATGAAGTATAAAGAAGGCCTGAAACACGCTGAGAGGGGTGAGTTTCATGCTTGTTTATCACTTGAGAAACATCAGTAGTATCAGTTCTGGTCTCCCCTGATTTGCTGGAGTATTTTCTGTATTTGGAGGTCTCACATCTTAATTGAAAGGCTGACGATGTTGAAACCTATGAAATACATCATTTCCCCAAAATGTTCATTAGCCATTGATGGTAAACAGGCATAAACAAAAAGCATGGGGTGTTCCACCGTCTAACTAACGCTGTGCAGCTTTCACTCTCTGGACTCCTGTCATCCCATCACTTCACAACGGCTGCTTCTGCACTGGCAAACATGGGACTCGTCATTCATCACCAGTATGCGGCTGGGCAGCTTCACCAGTGGTTGCACCATTGTAAGCTGCAGGGCACAGACAGTGCTCAGGCAGGTTCAGGATTTGTTACCACTATTTCTCCAACCATACAGGTAAAAAAATATGCCAGATATTTATCTACACTTCAACTTTCATTGCTGTCAAAGCTGGCACCGCACTGGTACATATCAGTGGTGAGCTACAGGCCTCATTTGTGCCGTTAAAGAGACAGCTGTAGGTTTTTTTCAGCCACCATCGAATCTTCCAGAGCA